CTGACATTGAACCCGCTTCACTCGGTTTCCCAAGCGTGAGCGTTACCACTGGGCTACCACTGTCTCTCAAAGGGGATTAATACACAACACTTAAAGTTTATATAATGAACTAATAGACATATTGCCTTAAATAATGTAACATCTGTATTTCTTGAAACACTACCACTAATATCCTAACTCGACAGGCCAAGCATGTTCTGTCACAGGCTGCAGATTGCTAACAAGTTTAATGCTGTAACAATATTTAAAATGACTATTATATTGCAAGTAAGAATTCAAAGACAAAGAAATTAAGTTTAAAAAGATTATTATTACTATTATAACCAGAATCATTTTCTCATTAAAGGCTTTAAACCGTAAGCGATACGTTTTCTCTAACAAGCTTTTATTAAAACAAATGAAGATCACTATGATATGATCCGCATCTCTAATGTCGACGGTTTTAACATTAATCCGATAATTCAACGAGTTTGCAAAATATAATTTATGTGAATATTCCTAATTAAAATTAATTAATTATTAAAAAAAATGCCTCATATAAGTAAACAACGCAGCTCATTGTAGTTGATTTCCTTTGATAATTAATTAATAGAATTATTTGAGTGTTGCTAAAAATTAAATTACCAATTAAAAAGTTAATTATCGCAATAAACATAATATTCTTTTATTATTCAAATGGTATCTAAAAGATTTTTGTATATCTGTTAATTAATTAATAATTTATTAGTCAATTATTCTGTAAAAAAATTAAGTAACGTCCAACTTACACTGACAAAACTCTTCCTCGCATATACATACATTATAGCTACAGCTTTGTTGTTGAGAAGAAAAAATCTCTCGACATACTTGGAAGGTCACTATACTTTTTATTTATCTTATTTTTAATATTTTAACAGAAATTATCATGTCAAACCACTTAATAACAGCAAAAAATATTCATCTTAAATGGCCTAAGATTACAATCATTTAGATATTTATACTACTTTAATAAGTATTACAATCTTGGGAAAATTATAATGATTCATCTCATTGTATTCTTTATTTCTACACTAAAACATAAGAATTCGTGTCTGAGGATAATACAGATACTAATAATAAAATAAAAATTTTCTCACGGTGCACAGCAACCTCAGATTTACTGCGTTTATCTCCTTATATCAAGAACATCCCCGCTAAATATTATGCATATTAAAATCTCTTTAATTGGTAAATTTTGAGATAAAATTGGCAATTTAGTCAACTGTTTCTGTTTTATTTTGTATGCCAAATGAATTCTGAAATACTTTTACTTTGATTCTGGGGCAAAAATTATATATTTATTTATATTTTGTTTCGAAAGTTAGCTTCGGAAAGTAAAACAGCTTTTTTATGCATCAATAATAGGTTTAGTCCGCCAGATAAAATGCGACATATGAAATTGTGTGCACTTTATCTATAAGAATTATTATATACTAGCGACTTACCCTCGCTTCGCTCTGGTACGTCCCTAGGTACGTTTTAAATAGATATGAGTAGTTAGTGCGTTAGTTGAAGAAAGACTTATGCTATTGCTGATTTTACTGTAAGCCTTTTTAAGACTTACAATTTTCTAGTACTACATTGTTTTGATATATCTTTTAAGGTTTAGCGAGCGTTAGAAATGTAAATTTCTAAAGAAGACTCGATAGAACCAGTTATTGTGTTTTCTTGTAGGAATGATAGATTTTCCTGTATTAAAAAATATCCTAAATGTTGATCCGACGAATAAGTTATCATTACACAAAATTTTGTCAAACTCGGTCCAGTGCTTTTTGCGTGAAACACGAACACTAAACTATAGAACTATATAATCTGTAATACCTAATTGTCTACGCTTAATGTAAATTAAGTAGCCGAGTGTATGCTTAACCAAGCGAACTTACGGTACACATGTCGCATGCATCCGCAAGTGCAGCGCACCGTCGCGAACTGTGATTAAATCACCACGTCACTTTGAAGCAGACATATGATTTAATGGTCATCTAGTATAGTTTACGCTACATGATAAGCGGCACTAGAATATACACGTAACTGACTGACGACGTGACCGGCAATAATCAGATTTTAATTTACTCATTACCTTAATTAAACTTAGAATTTATATATTTTTGTCGTTTTTTATATCAGGATTGAATGAAGTGATTTCCAGAAAGGAGGTTCTCAATTCGTCGGAATCTTATTTTTTATGTATGTTCACCGATGACTCGAAGACGCCTGAACCGTTTTAGATTTTTTGTTTCAAGGGGTATGTATACTTCTCAGGTGGTCCCATATTTTTATCGAAATCGGTCGAGCGGTTTTTTTAAAAATCAACAATAAATATTTTTTTAAATAAATTGTTTAATCGAATATGTTATTAAAAAACTATCTTCTTACAAATTACCTGCTTGTTACGTCTATACTAAAAATGGAAAAATAAAAACTTTTTAACAAAAAATAAAAACCACCTCCTAGGCACTAAAATGTAAAAAATAACTAAACGGAGGTTTTCATTTAGAATAGATACCTAATCAGACATTTTCGAAGTCGGTGCCAGCCTACAATATTTTAAGTTTTTATTTAGTAAAATAAAGCTTAGCCAAATATATTATTTCAACGTGAATCTAATAATGAATAATAATTTAAAAAAGGTGCCCAATTATATAGTATATTTGGCAAATACTATTCATTGTGCAAGTAAAGTAATAAGTTGTGTACCTCTGAGCAAAGCTCCACAACTGGAATCTTTAATGAGAGAGCGCAATTCAAATCAACAGATTTATAAGGAATGAGTTATTTCTCTAGGAGCACGTACATTATTTATATATTCTAGCAGCCACTCAGGTATTCAAATTCATAGGCCAGAGATAAGTGTAGCGAATGTCTGATATTCACCTCGGGGAAGGCACATCCGCGTCGCAATTTATCTAATTTAAACTTTTATTACATAGACTTTTACTAACTGAAACTACCACAATTATTTCAATTACGCATGGTTGGTAGGAACCTTACTGAGGGAGCACTCATAAGGGCTCAATAAAATATATAAAGGATAATGCGCATCGTTAGTCTAACCTTATTTCTAAATTAGAAATTAAAAATTGTATTTCTAATTTATACATTAATTGTATTTATACATCATTAGTAAATGATAATAAAAAAAGATCTTGCGGATAGATATGTACTTTACATGATTTTTTCGAAACAGGCGTTTTTAATTGTTTAAATATCATTAAGTAAGTATATCAAAATTTTAAACATGCGATATCTCTTAGTGTAAAGTTTATAGATACTTATTTTTGAAAAGTAAAACTACCTCGATTTTTCTGATATCACGTTCTTACTTACTACACTTTATAATGATGATAGACAAAAGGAAAGTGCTTTGTCGTCTGAGCGGTAGGATAGTTTGATCAAAATAATATGATGATCGCTAGAGTCTTACATCGGCTACCGGTTGGAGCATGCACTCACTATTGCTAGCTAGTTTGCATTTGTATTTAATAAACATGTATCCAAGTCGCGAATGATAATTAAGTAAAAAAAGCTTACATTTTCGTTTCCCAGTCTTACATCTTACTTTTATGTCCATATATCATATATAATTGTTACGATTTGCATATTATATAAATAATATGTTACGAGGCTTGTTTTATGGATACCAGATAGTTCATACACTACAAATATATAACTATAAATACATAAACATACATATTATAAATATAAATACCCACGACTGGAGTACAAACATTCGTGCTCATCACACAAATGAATGCCCCCAGCGGGATTCAAACCCGCGACCGCTTAATTAGTTTATTTTATGTAAGTATATATATTTTTAAATAAATCTGCGTCTTAATAGCTGGTTGAATACGACGACTGGATTGCCTGAACTCTCAATTAATGTAGCGTATCATACCGTCAACCCGAAACAGCGTTAAGTCTCCCATACTCGTGACGCGAAGAACGAACTAAATGAATGTACATTTAATTAGCCGTTATACTATAAATTTTAAAAGCATTGATAAGGTCCCGTTGGCCGTTCACTGGAAACAGTGTTTGCTGGTAATGGCGCCTTGCGAATTAAGTTTAATTAATTCCTCTTCGCGAAATGTACTCGCAGAAACGGATTTGGGCAAACTATCGCTATTCGTTATCCGCACACGGAAACGCAACACTATTCGCACATAGTTTTAGCTTCGAGTCTTTCTATACTAAGGATTACGTGAGAACACGGATATTAATAATTTTACAAGTTTTCTATGATTGTTTTTACAACTTATTAGTTACTCTGTTTACTCTAAAAGAATTAAAGAGTCAATAGTTTTAGCATGATCATGATCATTTATCACTTGTATATTAGTATATTGACAGCGTAATCATCGCTGTAAGTATATGTATTATATTCATTAATTGTGTTCCACTTTTTAGTAATTGCTTGTAACCGACAAACTATCACACCCAGCAAATTCTATAGAGTGGTATAAATAGGTCTAGATAAATTTTTCAATTTATGTTAAAGCTTAATATAATGTAATTGTGATACAGGCATTATAGTAGATAATTAAATTCTTGGGAAGATATAAACGAGACTTATACAATTTATGCAACATTTGCGTAGCGGCCTAGTAGTGCAGAGCAATGTTCGCAGTTCTGCGCGTACTGGCTTTTGTTTATGTTACTGTATACTTAAATGGTAAGAGACTTGTCTACAAAGCTCTATGATAACGGTATGTTTTGTAAATAATTATAAAAGAGAGCCAGATTCATGCTCGTTACTTTACGAAATATATTGACAGCTAAGCTCATCCACACTTCAGTTTTATGATAATTTAACAACTAACGTTGAACAACTAATTACTTGGACATTGATTTATGTATGTATATTACATGGAATATATTCTAAATTTTATTAAGGTAAACAATTTCTTAAATACACACATGCATTATTAATATTAAACCTTGTAATTTATTAACGGCATAAATCCACAAACAACAATTAAATGGACGGCGCTAAATTACATAACATTTTGACCTCAAATTATGAGCTGGTATATATTACGTGATATATTACTGCATCGTCACTTTAACGGGATATCGAATAATTAATCGATAGTTTATATGCAAGTGAGTTTACGTCGATCCTTTCGTGAGACGTCAATATAGCACAGGAGGTTAGCAGCGATCACGAAACCGTAAAGAGACGATAATCGTTCGTTGTAGTCTGTTGAGCCAACCTCGTGTAAATAGTTATCGGGTGCCTGTTGGAAGCTGGCGCCCTGTGGTCGAAGTAGCAGTTTATTAGACATTTTACAATTTACATATCACTAATCACATATTATGAATATAAATTCTTAGGATAGTTATTTATTGATAATTTTAACGGTATTCATATATAATGGAATATAATAAAAATTAATTAATTTTAGTAAAACTTTCTTTGTTTACAGCACACCTTAACAGGCCACAGCGGTAAAGTGATGGCGGCAAAGTTTCTCGGCGAACCCACCAAAGTAATAACCGGCAGTCACGACCGAACCCTTAAAATTTGGGATCTTAGAAGTAGAATGTGTAAGTTAAATAATCACTTTTAAAATTACTAAAAAATTTATGTTACATATTAGAATGAAACTAGCGTTTACCCGCGGCGCCGCTCACACAGTATGTATATGTATATGTACATATGTAGGTAGAATTTCCAAGATACTAGTACAAGATATACATAGCCTTCCTCATTTATATTTTCGAGTGTAATAAAGAATATAATATTAAATAATTAAAGTTAACTTATAAAAACCCTTTAAGTAAAAAAAAAAAAACACTTAAACTTTAAGATTTTTTAAAGGTAAGCTTAACAAAATTATGCACTTTCAATTTGGTCGTATAGCAACTAAAGCAGTGCCTAAGTAATTTCCTACATCAGATAGGCAACTAATTAATTACTATCAGTCCATAGTAGTTTGTCTAATTTATTATCTTATCTCAATTTAGACGTTCTTAAATCATTCGGTGACCATTTTAACGAGATTCAATACACGGTCTGTTCTTGCTAATAAATTATCCTAATTTCTCTAAGGATTGTAATGGATACTGCAAGTAATTTTCTCACGTTCCTTATTTTATGCTAACATATGAAATCAAATATACTTTTAACGATTGACTATTGTATTTTTCTATGCTTTTTCTAAATTTGTTACAGGTACAGAAACTAAGTTCGCAGGATCATCTTGTAACGACCTTGTGACGTCAGACGGTGCGGGCTCGACTATCATCTCCGGACACTTCGACAAACGGATTCGCTTTTGGGACATACGAACGGAAATGTCGGCCAATCACATCATGTTACAGGGCAAGGTCACTTCGCTCGACCTCAGTAGAGGTATGCTATACATACATACAGCTTAATTAAACACTATGATATTCAGAAAACAAACTTAAATCAAATAAACATGGTGTTGAAAAAATAATTGTATATTTCTATAGCCATACTGATATTCACAGATAAATGAATGCAGTATACTAGTATTAGTATTCGTGTCAGTGTTACGTGACGGGTATGCGAGATCCATTTCCGTAACGCATGTCTCGATCAAACCCTTTTTTGTTTATAACGGTTCAGTGCACGAAACAGCGAGATTGATACCTTCAATCAATCGAAATGCCGGGACGTCACTGCTTAGGCGACTGATTAAATCACGTCGATTTCGTCGCTGGCATGACGACACCACCATCGAAAAATGAATAGGAAACCATTCGTGGAAAGAAATTGTGCTCGATTCGGTTAGTTTGAAAACAGTAAACTGTAGAATAATTATTATATACAAAATACCAAACATGCAAGCTAGTTTCCATCGAGGCGACATGCTTATTACGAACTGATAACTTTTACTTTACCAATATGACACATTACACACTAATCATAAACTAAACTAAAAATTTAAATAATTGATGTTTCTTTAATTGAATTCAACATTTATTATGCCAGATTTTATCTATCTATTAGAATTTTTATATCGTTCAATCTGTATAAATACGTGAATAAATTTCTAATAAAAATTACAAACTAGTCCAAATTATCTATACTGCGATCGTCATGTATAGGATAAATCACTTATTTGAACGACCTTGTTCGTATAATTTTGCAATTACTCCTGCATCTTAATGGTAAACAGTTTGAGAGTCCGTTACAAATCTGATTTTTTTTATATAGCAGCATTGACTCCGGAGCAGACCGGGTGGGTGACCAGACAAGCCCAAAATACCACTGCTTTAAGTAACGGGCATGGTTTTAAATTTTGTTTACTTTTCTCTATGTTCATACATTGTGAAAATAATTAGTTTTTACGACTTCATTTTGTTTAAATTACTTGTTGTGTATAATAAGTTACGACTATTTGTATAACAAAACAGTAAATGTGAAAAAATATTTTTTAAATTTTATTCCATGTAGCTATTGTGGTTACGCTTCTGAAAATAGTCTGAATAAGTAACAATGTTATGTTATAGATATATGCGTTTAGATTTCGTTTAGCTTATATGCAATACTTGGTTAGCCAGTAGAATTTGGTTGGTACATCGCAAATTATATCATATATAGATACATACCTAAATGATACTAAAAATAATAGAAAAATTATAAATGTTTTCACGGTCATAGATTTCCGTAAATTTTACCAACTAAAGGGCTTCCACTTGTTTTGTAACTTTCTCAACTCGCTTGACAAGAGATGCAACTAGTTTTAATTGACTTGACCTTAACTTATGTTTCACACGAAACATTAAAAATGCGTATGGAGCGCCGTATATGCAGATAATCGTTTGTACACAGTATCTCAAAAGTCGTAAAATAAATTGCCTACCAGTTCTTTTTGACTGACAGCATTTTATCAGAGCTTAGTATAAAATTTAAATTACGGCAAGCGACTTATTTTTACAACACATAACTGTTGATGTTAGCACGGCGATTCGTTTAGCTTGGTTTGCATAAAAAGTGTAATCCTATTATAAACGTAACTTATGACATTGAGGCTAATACACTTTTTTTCTTATATATTCGCAGATAGCAATTACCTGCTGGCATGTGTCCGAGACGATACTATACAACTCATAGACTTGCGAATGAATACAATAGTACGTTCTTTCAGGTAAGAAATCATGTTATAAATTCTACAAATAAAATCTTTAAAACCTACCTATAACAGTAAAGTAGCTTGCTAAGCGGACGTATAAATATACAAATGTAGTCAATCTGGACACTCGTAGAAAGATCAGAGGTTGATATGTGACTCATTATTTAATAGTCAGGTTTGAAAATATTTACGTTTTGATTAGCTTTATATCTTTTTTTTTGTTTCGGTTGTATGTCAAACGCTATTTCTTGTATTTGATTTAATATTATAATTACAGTAATTAATCGATACACAAAAATGACTTTGACTAAATTGTTAATCCAAGGTTTTCTCAAAATAATACCTGTTTATGATAGAAATTTACAAACGTTTCATAGCTCAAAGATATGTAGCTCATTAGCACTGTTACCTATACCCCAGCTTGGGAGTTCAAAGTTGCCTTTCAATAATCAGTTGCCTTACAGGTTTACCTTGGTCTTGTTAAAAAACAACTTAGTGCTTTACCGCCTAACTAGCATTATTAGAGGAAAGAGTAGTAAGAAAAGAAAGTGTCATTATAAAAAAACAATATATGAACATAAAATGTATGTATCTTTATGCATTGCAAAAACTTTTTTATCACCGTCGCAGTCACGAAGCGTTCAAGGTGGGTTGCGACTGGTCGCGGGCAGCGTTCGGGCCGGGCGGGCGGTTGTTAGCCGTAGGGGCAGCGGATGGCGCCGTATATGTATGGAACACACACTCGGGGAAACTTGAAGCGGTGTTAAAGGATCACTCGTAAGTATTTTCGCTATTTAATCGAATGGTGAAAGAACTTTCTCAGTTCGGGCTTTTCAAATTATTCTATCCTTAACGACCTCTACGAAATAAGCTTTTTTTTATTACGACTGTAAAACGTGGTTTCTGTTGCTTTTGCTGTTAAAAATAGCGGCTTAGCTTTGCTTCGCTTGATGCCTTTTGTATTTATAATATTATATACAGGCACTTCTTCACAAATATAACTAAAAAAGTAGCCATTTGTTACCCCAAGTCATAGTTTATCTCTTTACATTGTGCATATTCCATCTGTTCCATCCGTTTTAACGTCAAGGACTTCAAAATATTGACAGTTTGATTTAAAAAATCATACGGGATAAACACTCAGTCTGCTCAAGTAACGTTTTCTAATGTTTTATTTACTTATTGTAACTAATTCTTAATCTATTCAGACCAGATGGTAATTTTGTATTTACACTTGCAACAGTCATTTGGTGTCCGTTGTGCATACACTAATCTCAGTCATAGTCAAAGACCGCACCAGTTTTAAACAAATAGGTGTGTCCCTAGTGCGTTAACTGGTAACAGTTAACCGTGGCACGTAACAGATACCAGTTTGCAATAATTGACCATAAAAGCTATTTAACATGCAAATTATTCGTACATATAAATAAATGGTGGAATGTTGGCTTACCTTAATCCTGCCAAAATGGACGGTTCTATTAAGTAGCTCAATAGCATACACATATATATAATTATAATGTGAATAAATAGTATTTTTTATGTGATTTTTAAAACGTGAATGTTTAAAGTTTTGCTTCTATGTGTTGATCAGCCTGTAATTACAAATGAGAGCCGAAAATGATTATTTAATGATTATTATTAAACTTCCATATATAAAACAAAGTCGGGTAAGTTACACCGTTTATATCTCAAGAACGGCAGGACCTATTTCTATGATTTTTGATTTGTTGGATTTGTCTCCGCCCCGAATAGCAGAATAACTATTAAAACATCTGAAATAAACCACGAAAAAGAATAACATAGCTATAGCCATGTTATTCTTTTTCTTGGTTTTCCGATGATATATGATAGCTATAGCTGGCTAATAATTATTTATATCTATTTAAAACGTACCTAGGGGTGCACCCGAACGAAGTGAGCGTAAATCGCTACTATACAATATAAACAATGTCGACTTAATTAAATCAAATGAATATATAGCTTTTTACCCTTTGTTTTAACAGTATTGAAACATATTAAAACAATTATAGGATGTTATGTAGAGCCCGTTACTTTTTCGTATAAAGGCAGATAGATGTACTTGCGATCAATTTCCACTTCCCCAGTTTTCTATTTTGCTCACTTTGACCGATATCAACAAACTGTTGTGATATGTATCTAAAACAAGCATTCCGAATACTAAACAATGGCACCTAGTAACGTTTCATTACTTTTTTGAAAGCCAACGATGGCACTTATAAGGCGACGATTAAATCTTTATACATCGCACGCATTTTAGATAAAAATAGCATTCTTTACAATTAATGAACTTCAACCTTTTATTATGGACATATTTTTTATTTAACCTTTTTTTGGGCAATCTCGATGAGGCATCGGCTTCATGTCTGTCCATTTATCATTTCTATATTGCTAATACTCCTCTTCCTAGTTCCTACTCTCTTTAATCTACTTTTATGGATAAAATTGAAATTAAATATGGAAATATATCCATGGCGATGATAAATGTTAATATTAACCAAACTACTTACATTCTTAATAAACTTTTCAACTATGAACGTTGATAATCCGGGTGCTTATAGAGGACGGATGTCAGCAACTAGTTTCTTTATCTCAAGTCTTAGAAACGATATGCGATCCTTGCGAGCTTTACTTTTTTACGACTTATTAATCTAAAGACTTATGTTGAAATTAAGCCCGTTCATACTCTATCTATCTAATCGCATGCCAGTTTTCGTAATGAGAAAATTATTAAATATTTCTTGATGTCGTCTGTTAAATAATTCTTGATGTCTTCATCTTTTGCGATTTCGAATACTTTAAACGGTTATTACTTGTTTCCGGACCAACATTAAGTAATTGGATGTTGCTCGAAACTCGTCTTTCAAAAAGGGCTGCCCTTTTGACATGCAATAATATTTCAACAAGCATATTTCTGACCTTGAATTTAAAACTAGAATTGTCTTGCTCGTAACATCGTTTAGTTTCCCTATAACATTTCGCATGGACAATTGAAATCGTGAGGTCACTATTGGCTTGGGCTGTCTCACTATTGCAAATTTCTCTTTCCCACACAACACCACCGGTGGCTTGTTCAGACAGTGTTAAGGATTATTCACAACTGAGTTATTAGCTCGGTAATTATCGCTCATGACAGTCTTTCAGTTGTTATTCTTATGTTTATTTAGAATTGTTAAACGTAAAAGAAAGATTAATGAAAAGTTATTTTAGACTTCTAAGACTAGGAATCCGCCCGCGCTTCTATCAGGTTCCAACTGCACTTTTAAAAGAGTGCACTTTTATATGTCTAAAAATACTAAAAACCAATTCTTACAGACGTTAGAGATGTAAGAGCAAACAACCACACAAATAGACACATTTTCGAATATATCTGTTAGCTTAATATAATTTTAAGTATTATAAGGAAAGATAAAATTAAGTTCATTAATATGAAACCAATAATTTTTCCAATATTAACATTCACTTCTTACTCTTCATTCACTTCGATCATGTCTGAAATTGATAGGCTATTCTGTGTGTAGGCTTCATAATAAGGTTAATTTTTTTATTAATTATGCAATTAATAAAAAATTTAACCTTATTATGAAATACTCTGATTTCATCTTGAAAATTTTACTATTTATGTCTGAGTATAATTATTTTGGTAGAAATTCTTACTGCACTGTAACGCAAAATAAAGTGAAAAACATCTGCAGACACATTTCTTTAGTAATTCAGCTCTCGTAGGTTAGTTCGTCGAGCGTTAAAACTGTTTCGTCATTTCATTGCAATGTCAAGACTAATTCGGTCTAAACAAACATTGTTCCGGTTGGCTGTTCTTAGCTTTTACCGTTTTGTCATAAATTTTAATTTTATCTTTCTTGATGGAAATCAATTTGAATAGAACAATTTCGAATTAGAGTGAGATGAACAATAAAGATTGCTCGCCTTTTGGCCGGCCATTGTTCCGCGATTCGTAAGCGCATAACCGCTAGCATAAAATAATTTTACGTCCTAGGTCCTAAGTTCAGGATACATTTCAACTTTTATCAAGATACGCTCATTAATATTTGTATATGAATTGATACGAAAATAGATTTGATGACACATCTCCCTCACAAAATTGTTAAAGCCACTGATATTTTTAAAATTTCTACTATATTTTTTATGTCAGACAATCTAGAAACCAGGTTTAACTGTAATTTAGCTACATTTTAGAATTTTATATTTAAAATAAGATTTTAGTCAAGTGTGTAAAGGTCGTAAGTTCAAACGCTTTGAATTTCAGTTCGTGCTTATGTGATCGAGCGACGTTTCCGGATATGTACAATAGAGCACCGATGTCGGTGTGATGCCTCTCAAGCATTTGAATGTTATCTTTGTAATGCGCGCTCAGTCCTGTCCGCACGCAGCATGTGGCCGCAAATTTAACACGAACACATGCGACACGCACTTAGTGTTGTCTTTGGAAACATTATGAAACATTACGCCGCTCTTATCGCCGATTTGTATCACGGGAGATAGCGGGCAGCTTCGGTTAAATTATTATTACTAAACATAATAGCTACAAGACAAAGATAAAGATGATAGTGTAAAACCCACTAAAGTTTAGTCCTAGCCCATAAGTGGGACGGGAATTCAGTGTCGCTGTAAAGGTTAAACACGCCATTATCACACTTTATTATCACCGACTCTTATTACGCTCCTAAATATTGTGATTTACGATTATATTTTAATGATGTATTTAACCCGATTTGCCGTGTATTATTAAAATGTGAAAGTTTGTAATGAGTAAGTAATTTAAAAAGTATCATATTATTTTCGTGAATCGATCAAGTATTTTACCGCCCTATATTATGCATATTCAATCAATATAATATTTCATACCCAGAAATTCAATAATTGCTTTAATATTGTACGCTTATGTGAGAAATCGGTGGCAATAAGTTTAACATTTTATTGAATGCATTAACGTCGGATATTAAAACCCTATAATTTCTGAGTAAATCGCGGCGCAGTTAACATCTTGTAGTGGAGTAAACCTTATTTCTATTAGATATTATATTTAACTACGGTCTCGCGTGTTTTGTGCTCAACTCATATTACAATTTCCGTGGTAATTTGATTCATTTTATTTTTAATGAAATAATCCTATGAACATTTAATTTAAAACGAACTCATAAAAATAACATTAGTTGGTACATAGATAACGGAATGTTATTAAAATGGCCTTATGAAAGAGTAATAAAGTGAAGTGGTGGCTATGTTTTTACAATACCATAATTAATTATACTAGACGGTAATTGCTAGTATACGGTGTATAATTTCCTAATTAATGTTAGTTACGTTTGTGGAGGTCGAGTTTTGCAGGGATTATTTATATTGAAACATCTCTTGTTCTAAATTATTTCCAGTAAAAATGTTATTTTTATAATAATTACAATAGGTTTTTTTTACATTTTACATTAGAACAATTTCTGAAGATTTTATGTCACATATATTACTATATACTACTTTGTAACTGCGAGTATTATCCCGCTCTTAAGGTGTTCCCGCAGTAAATTTTAAGTCACTTTTAACTCTCGACTTCCAATGGGAGTAATGTTCTGTGCGTGCTTACACAGCATCGCAATCGTGGTCTTGTAAAATTCCAATAATGCTTAAAACTGCTTGCTCCAGGAAGTAGAACACTTAGATAATACAATCCAATAACAACGAAAGAAACACTTTCTTAAATTGCATTTTTTAATTAAAAGTATGTAAATAACAATGCAACATTTAATATTTATGTCAGTTTGCCAATTAAATTCTTTTTGTGCCTATAAAATTTGCATATCGATAAAAGTGTAAATTTTAGTAATGATTTATGTTAAATTTAATGAACAAAACAGTTATATCCCCAAATTGTAACAATAAACCTAAAAGGTAAGGACCGAAGTTAGAAATGGACACACGTCAGCGGAAACGCGCTGCAAGCTTTTTGTGAAGGCAAGGCTATCGACCGCCGCGAATAGATTCTTGAAATTACTTTATTGGGTAACCTGTTCCCGAACATAGTAGGCGTGTAATGCGGTTATGAATCAAGACGTGACTCGGACGAAATACAAATTCTAAACATATTTTCGAACACCGTGCAAGCAATATACAACTAATTGGAAGCTACTAAAGATTTTCATATATCATAAATTAAACTAAGCGCAATTATCATAACTCAAAGTATCATGGTTAATATTCTCTGATAAAATGACTTATGTTTCGACATCCATCTATTGATTTTTGTCCTATGATTGAATGATTCAAACTCGAAAAAAAACTGTAATGATTTACCATATAAATATGCTTAACGGTAGATTTAATTAATAAATAAATTATACGTATCTTAACAATACATTAACAGCTTTTCATTCATTCTACATACTCTTAAGCATCTCGTTATCTCCATAAAATACATAAAATATTACAACCCTTTCTGTTGCGTATGCATTTCAAGCAACAATTGTATGGTCTTTCGTTACGTATTTACGTCGCTTCCTAGTCCCATATTGGATATTCGAACTCGTTAAACGCTACTAGGAGCGGTATGTGTAAACGAACCGAGCAAATCTCACTCTAATTCTTGTTTATGAAACCTTAACCCGCATAATGAGATATAAAACCGTGTAGCGGCTTCCGACAATCAAATCAGAACCATCTATATGCCGATCTTGAAATATCTATACATTCTTTTAATGTGCTATCGATATCTTAACCTGTTTGGAAGTATATTTTGAATAAGTTGACCGCATTTCCTTCTTCATCTCTAATGGTAAACTGACAACACCATTGCGTTCTCTTACTTGGTTGATTTTTTGTCGGTTTCATTAGGTGCTGACCATTAATAAAAGTCACGATGAATATCTCCTTAGAGCTAGTGACACGGATTTAAGCGCCAACATAATATTTATAATGTACGGCCTAATAACGTGGGATACCGTTCATAGTAACCTCGCACATTCTGAGAAGCGTAACGGTCCAGCCGACGAGATATAAAATGCACCAGTTTTGTCATAAAATACAGAGCACTCTGATGCCACTTTATGACCTAGTGACCTGAGATTTTGTCAAAATATCAGTCCAGTTATATTAGATGCATTTGATTGTGTCAAAATTCAGGAAAAACTTGATTCTACAGCAGCATAATTCTTAAAAGATTTATCTTTCATGCGAAATAAACTAAAAACAATTCTGTAACGAAACTCGCCGACGTGATAAAACCCATTCGTTTTCAGTCGTGATCCAGAGTTAGGAAGATATTTCTCTCAAAACCATTACTTAGTGCTAAGTCGACACTGGAAATGTCAAAGCTCATATATTTGACGATTTCACGAACTCTCGCGTAAGAAATTCTAAGTGCTGTTTATCCATATCAGTATAGAGGATGCCATTCCTAGCATTTGACCTAGACTTCTTTGAACCCACATTTCCGTATTTGTAACGTAGTCATATTTAATGCCTTCTTTTGTGTGTTATGATGTATGTACCTACCAGGTGAAAACTGTTCACTATTCAGGTCGGTTCCATAAACTTTCTTATGTTGTATACAAAAAAGTTTACATATTTTTATTTCATATTTTATCAAATTAAAAAATAAAAAAATATATATTTAATTTCCTTTAAATATTAATATTTGTTTTTTAAAGTAATAAAGATGTTGTTCCTGTATGAAACATACATATATGTTATATTCCCACAGGACTGCAGTAACGGCGGTGTCATGGCATCCACAATCTGGATTGTTGGCGTCGGTAGATCGAGGAAAGCGGGCTGTCATTTGGGGAGACTTGTGACACGCCTGGGACCACGACCCGGTCCCACCGACTGAACAGGTGAATGTTTTATTTTTTTAATCTATATCAATATTATTAAAGTGAAAGTGTATTTATTGATTGGTCATTTTACAGAGCAACATTTTTTTAACATAGTTTACAGGCCAAGCACCTATTAAATATTAAATGGTTTGCGTGGAGTCAAAATTCGAAGTATAGTCAAAGCCTGAGCGAGGTGATCGCAGGTTACTAGTTAAAAATAAAATAAGTTTATTTCCCATAAAAATAAAATATAATACCTTGCTAAAAATGTACGGTTAAATGTACTCAGAAGATATACATAAGTGATCAAAGAAAATAAATTATTTTTCCCTATTACAACTTTAGTAAGATAAATAGCAACATCGGCAAGTCAGCATCGTAAAATCGTAGGTAGGTATGTGATATTTACTTTTAATTTTAAAGTCGCTTAAATATGCATAAAATGAAAATCACAATGATGAATAAAAATTCAAGTTAAAGAACAGATGTGCAATTATAAAACGGCAATTAATAAAATGAATAAAACATGAAAAGTCAAGACTAAACTCTAGATCTATTACCACACGCGCGATATCTGCCTTAATATACGTAAGAAGTAAAACTAGTGCTCTAAAAATATTAGTTTTTTTTCTTTAAATGTACAAACACTCTAAAAGCGCTAATAATTGCGTTCAAAATATGTTAAGAGTATTTATTCTGATAGGTACCGCTAACCAGTGAGATTTGTGTATCAATAGGAAATGAAACGTTCCTTGGTTAATTATGAAACTATTCCTAAGCCTAATTAACGGAACAGGCTTATTTTATTTTTAATTGGTTCCGTAAAGACTTCTATTACTTTCATTAAATTAGGTACTTTTTTGTGACATTTATTTGTGAAAGCAGTATGAAAGCGTCTTGCATTTTGTAACAAGATATGGTAAAAAATTCTCATTAGTTACTAAAATATTCAGGCTACTTTGACCATCAAGATTATTTTGTCAAATTAAATATTTGTTTTTTTTTTAAATGCTTTCAAAACCTGATTTTGTTCACTGTATATCGCAGCTTTCAATTTTTTTTGTTAATAATAATAATAATAATGTCCTCCTTACCGATTTCAACAACCGCCGCCAATCTCACTGAGACTGCGCGGGACATATTGTAGTGCACACGTGCATGCGCAGACACAAGTGCACTCTCTATTCCTTTTAATCGTCGTATTTCAACAGGACGTTATCTCGACATTACCGGTAACAGATAGGCGCAAAACCCACAATTTAAATAGCTGTCCGTGGCACAAGGGGCATCTGTTGGCAAATTTATTTCCCCACTCCAGGCTAAGCTTTCCAGACAGAAAACCCTGTTAGTATTTTCCAGTAGCGTATTGACACATTTGCCGCCAGTAGGCTATTCAAATTTTGCCGCCCCTATCGACCTCTACAAGTGTCAGTTCCTAGATTATTTTTACAATCCAATGACTTAGTTAAGATTGCACAAGAAATAGTTTTTGGGTATACTTCTGAGCTAATAAAAGCTCTACTCTCCTGATTTCAGTTATAAATTTTTGCCAGCCATAAATAATAATTTCTTGAACCAATTAAGCAAATTGTTGAAAAAATTGTCTTAAAGGTGAACCATATTACATGTTGAATTATTTGTGCGGACCTAATAACATTTAGTATAAAACTTTAGATAATAGTAAACTAATAATAGTAAACTTTTTAATTTCTGTAAGACAAAAAAATTTTTTGGCCCCAAATTTGCTCCAGCCTACTGAGCCTGCTGGTAAATTCACCACTAATATTTTCCAATATTTACGCTAATATTAAATAAATCGATATATTTGGATTCTTTCACGGATATATTTTGATTTTTGGTTTCCGATGTTACGAATGCTTTACAGCAAAAATGGTCATGGGAGAGACTAAGATTTTAGTTGAGATTGGCTTTTTTAATTAAGATAAATAATTATTAATATACTAAGAGAATAAAAAATGTCGAATATTTTTGCATTTTCCCTTCTCAATAAAGGCATCTGTCTTCTTAAGTAATAACTATGAAAGAAGCGCAAGAGGGTACGGTTTTAACGCTTAGAATGCTGTCCTTTTAGTCCTGTCCTCATAATGTATATACCGTTAAGATATGTATGAATATATCTATACATTACCTTAGTACTATGTACACGAATAATTATTATTGTTATTCGATCATTTAATTAATATGAAGTAAATCTTTAACTACTAAAAGGCTTACTCAAAAGTTCGTTAATTACAAACAGTCAAACTTTTAAAAACTTGTAACATTAGTAACATAATAAGAAAAAGTTAATGATTTATTCCAATACAGACACATACAATTTACTTATAGGAATAGATTGAAATATTATTGTGAACCAAAGCCAAGTGGACGTGTTTCTATTAAATTTACAAAGTTGCTTTTATCAACAACGCCGAAGAGGCGTGTAACGAAAATTAGCTCTCGATGACCTCAAGTAATAGAGTCTGAGTAAATTAAAGTCGTTCATGAGTAACAAGATCTAATTAATTATTTCACTTGTAATTATAGGTTTATTTTATTTACTTACTTGATGAAACTATTGTATACAGATTAAAATACAATTAAAAATTAATGAATGTAAACGAGTGGAAATTTTGACGCCCCTATTTACAAGTACGTAGGTACTCATGGAATTATCCGATCACAATTATCATTATCAATAATCTATACATATAATAAAATTGTAACTAAGCTAAATCTGTACATTCGATATTTTTTGAAAAATCTTATTGAAATAAACATTATTATCGATACAGAGGCCGAATCTATAGTTTTTAGAATTTTTGTCAGTCTGTCTGTCTGTTACCGCATAACAGAAAAACCACTGAAGGGATTTTGATGAAATTTGGTATGGTGATAGCTGGTTATCCGGGTCAACGTATAGGATACTTTTCACCGCGGGAAAATGTGTCATCTTTGAGAAAAAATACAAAAACTGCAATGTAAGAGATACTAATATGTAAAACCTAAGAATTTGGTTTTTGGTCATCTGAACGCGGGCGGAGCTGCGGGCAATGCTAGTTAATAAATAATAAGTAAAATAATTTCATGTGAATATCATATTGTAATGTAATTATTTAATTTAACTTTATATCTCTATTCTATTTTTATCTTAAGGAAATAAAGAAATTTAAATCCTCAACCTATTTATTTAATCATAATATTTATTTAACAAATAATAAACTTAGTTCCGTACACACTCGGCTTCAATAATATTTATATGGTCATTTGACCATTAGAAGTGCAATGTAACTCTTTGGTCAGTCCACAACACGTAGTTCTTAGACGTGTAGGTCGCAGTTCACACTTATGCTGTCTAGACATGTTATTTCTTTACGTTTGTAATGTACTTAGTACGTAATATAAAATGTCTCTACGAGTATATACATTATAACGGGATTCACTACTTAAAAAGAAGACTCTTATAAAAAAACTTAATGGTACTAGTACGAATTACAATTATTATAATTCATAATAGAAATCCGTTAAGAAATTGTAGAAACAAAAAAAATCTAAAGTCCTAGATTTAATAATTATAGCGATTAATATTGATCAAAGATAACTTAGCAAATTTTTTATATAAATTAAATCTGTAGTTCTTTTATTTTAAATCGGATTGATGCTACCATTGTGCTAAAAAATATATCGAAGTGAATAGAATAGTTAATAAACATAGAATGGTAGTGACTGACAGGCTTCTACCGCATGGTAATTTGACGGTAATAGCTTGTCTGACCTAATCACCTAGGCATACCAATAATTCGACCATTAGCTATATGAAATTTTATTGTTAAAAATGACTGTGGAATACCTCGGACAATACAATGCTGCCGACAAGTGAAAGCGTGACTTTCGACTTTCATTGGGTTTTTGTACAAGTGTATGTATAAGTTCGCACCGGCTGGTCCATATTGTCTCGCGACATGAATTTACCGAATGACTTTGACTAATGGGCCGTGTATGTTTGCTTTTACTTTTTATACAATTCACATCAGAATTATTCTATGTTGTGTACAAGATTTATAAAGTAATGCTAAAGCGACATAAAATTATGACCTTTCTCAGCAAGACGCTAGAAACAAAAGGAAGGCTCATGACATTTATGAAGTTCATAGTGCGCAGTCGCTAACCTAGTATGCACACCGCAAACGTTAAACATAATTTATGTTCAGTATATTATCTTAAAGTGTATTTTTGCTTTGAAAATATTTCTCATAAACTTTACAGCCTACTAGAGTGGACATATGCATTATTTTAGCTTCTTCTTCTTAATTGAGTAAAATTTTACTTTAAAATACTTATGCATCGCTATAGATAAAATATATGTCTACAGATATTTCTTTACTTTGTAAGGAAAAATTAAAATGTCATATCGTTGTAAATGACATGTGCGTTCATTTAGGTTAAATTATCGTGGCAATGTGCCTTTACACCGTGGAAGATCTCGAAACATCTATCTATAGATAATAAAATAAAGTATCGGGTGACAGAGCGGCAGGTACCGAACTCTGTAAAAATAACACGAGTAGAGACGAGATGCTTGGCCATACTGCCAACTTCGCGCTTGATTAGATTACGACAATGTCCAACTTACAATGTCAATTATAAAAAATTGCACAGCTTTAGAAACACGTGATCAATATTTTTCTTTCGCAACAATTTTACGTTAACATACTATAATATGTCTCTACCTTTATGTTATGTTGTGAAAGTTTCCAATTTTTGACCATTATGAAATATTTTTTTTTATTAACTTGAAAAAAATAGATTTCAGCTTCCAAAATATGGTAAATAATGACTAATACCTTGTAAGAAAGACTTATTATTTAATCGAAGTAAACGAGTTGTATGACGAATCGAGAATAGTAGCATAAACTGCAAATTCACGCTTTTTAAATTTTTAATTTTTGATTTTGACATTTTTTTGGCGGACTCTG